GATAGATAGATAGATAGATAGATAGATAGATAGATAGATAGATAGATGGATGGATGGATGGATGGATGGATGGATGGATGGATGGATAAAAAAAAGGAATGGAGTTGGTGGTAAGGATTGCTGCAGAGTTTAAAACATGGCATGTTGATGACTGAGACTGACTTACCAGACAAAACCAGTTTGGTTTTTTTTTTTGTTTGTTGGTTGTTTTTTGTTTTTGTTTTTGTCTTATTTTTTTTTCAAGACAGAGTTTGTCTGTGTAGCCTTGGCTGTCCAGGACTTGCTCTGTAGATCAGACTGGTCTCAAACTCACAGAGATCCACCTATCTCTGCCTCCCTGAGTGCTGGGTTTACAGGCATGTGCCACTGTGCCTAGACAGTTTGGTTTTTTATTAATTAAATTTATATATTTATTCACTTTACATTCGGAACGCAGCCCCCTCCCTCCCTCTTCTCCTTCCACCTTCTTCACCTTTTTACCCTCTCCTTCTCCTAAGAAGAGGGGAGGCCTCCCACTCCCACCCCACTGCTGGCAACCCAGGCCAGCACCTCCAGTCTCCTGAGGCCTAAGTGCACCCTCTTCCCCTGAGGCCAGACAAAGTAGCCCAGCTAGGGGCAAGTGATCTAAAAGCAGGCCACGGAGTCGATGTCGGAGACAGCCTCTGGTATTTTTTTTTCCAGTCTTTTTCAAAAATGTTAATTTCATTCTAAAGAATTTAGAAATTCCAAGCAATCTCAGGCAATCCAGATAAAAGGACTACAATACTGAAGTTGTGGCAGGGAAAAAGCATACTTCCATGCAGTGTTGGTGTTTGTCTACTGACAGGCTGTAGTATAAGGAAGGAGATCCTTGCAGATTAGACTCGTGTGGTGAGGTGAATGGAATGCCATATCAACTTATTATGTAAATGATATGTAAATCATTGTGTAAATAATTTTATAGTCATTTAAAAGAATGATATTGGCCTGTTCACCTCTGAATGGGAAGAGCTTTATGTGTTATTTTGATATCTTCACGATTTTTCCCAAGTACGTGGCAAAGAAATCTGCAACTTTGGTAAATGACAGTGATCGTAAACTATTTATGAACTGTTGGAAAACAGTGTGAAGGACATTCCCACTCATATGTGTTTGCATCTCCATAAAAACATCTCTGTTTTTAGTCATTTTTATATACAAATGATGGGTTTTGAGTATGTCGGTGTCTAACAAAAATAATGTTTTGTTATCTTTTAAAATTCCATTTATATCTATCTATGTAGAAACATCAATTTATATATATATTAAATTCTGTTATATTTATTAGTCCATTACTATATTAAATTCCATTTATTATATTTCATTTTATTTTATAAATCTCATTGATATTTCCGAGGAAAAACCAATATAGTTCTAGATGAAATGACATAATCCATATACGTATGTCAATGTACATTGCTTTTTACCTCTCTATTACCTTTTCTTATATTCCCCTTTTCAAATGTTCTTCTTTATGTTCTCATGTCTCTCCTATATAGACATACACATACAAAGACCATACTATTATATGAGGGAAATATATGTTCATTTGAGAGAAAAATTGCATTGAGTCCGACTTATTTATTTAGCACAATAATCTTTAATTCCTTTCATCTTTTAAAAGAACATATTTTGCTTAAACAAAACTGTTGTCCTAATTTTCTTTCTGTTGCTGTGGTAAACAAAATGATCAAAAGCAGCTGGGCTGGGGAGCAGGTGGCTGTTTGGCTCACACTTCCAAGTCACACGTTACTGTTACAGGAAGTCAAGGCAAGGACTCAAGGAGGACCTTGAAGCAGAAGCCATGTAGGAAAACTACTTGCTGGTTACTCAATCGTGGATTCATCATTAGTTGCCTTTCTCATGCAGCCTAGGACTGCTTGCTTAGACATGACGCCACCCAGAGTAGGCAGGACCCTCCTGCATCAATTAATAATCAGTAGAGTTCCTATGGACATGCTCATAGACCCGTCTGATCCAGGCAGTTCCTCAGTTAAGATTTTCCTCTCAGGTGACTACAGTTTATTTCAAGTTGTCCATTAAAGCTAACTAGGAGTGTGTGTGTGTGTGTGTGTGTGTGTGTGTGTGTGTGTGTGTGTGTG